GGGACATGATTTCTTGGGGTGTGTTGGGGGGCCTCTTGGGCTTTCCCTGGGAGCCCCTTGGGGGTCTCTTGGGGCTTCCTGGGGGCCTCTTGGGCGCCTCACGGGGCTTCGTGGGAGCCTCTTGGTGGCCTCCGGGGGCCTACAGGCGGCCTCTAGGGCCAGAGACCTCGAAATATCGGTTGGCGGTCCCCCTCTGGGCCCTCTCTTGGGGAGCTCTTGGGGCACAATCGGGTTGTCTGGGGAGCCTCCTGGGCCATCTTGGGGCCCTCTTCTGGGCCTCGTGGCCCGTCTTGGAGCGATCTGAAGGGCCTCCGAGCGAGGCGGTGAGGGAGCGCTGGGAAGCGGGGGAAGCGAGAACGCCTAAATCCTTCAAAAACCATAGGAAAATTAGTGAATCTTGCCTCCCAGGGCCCTCTTGGGGGGCCTCTTGAGTCCGTCCTGGAGCGTGTTGGAGTCCTCGTCGGCCGTCTTGAAGGCATCTTGGGCGTCTTCGGGGCCTCTTGGGAAGATCTAGGGCCCTCTCGGGACCTCCATTAGCCTGTCGTGGCCTGCTTCGGGGCGGGCCCAGGCCGCCTCGGGACCCCTCTGGGCCTTCTCTTGGCGCGCTCTTGCGGCACACACACACACACACACACACACACTTGGGTTGTCTGGGGAGCATCCTGGGCCGTCTTGGGGCCCTCGTCGGGGCATCGTGGGCCTTCTTGGAGCGATCTGAAGGGCCTCCGAGGCCGTGAGGGAGCGCTGGAAAGCGAGAAAAGCGAGAACGCCAAAATCCAAAACACTCGGAAAACGAGCGAATCTTGCCTTCCAGGGCCCTCTTGGGGAGCCTCTTGAGTCCGTCCTGGAGCGTGTTGGAGTCCTCATCGGCTGTCTTGAGGGTCTCTTGGGCGTCTTCGGGGCCTCGTGGCCTGCTTCGGGGCGGGCTCGGGCCGCCTCGGGAGCTCTGGACCCCCCCCGCAACCCCCGGTGGGCACCGATGGGGGGAACAAGCAGCGGCCCGCCCCCCCCCCCGGGCCTACTCCGAGATAGAGAATCATGTTCCCGGGAAGGTTTCCGGGAGCATGATTTGTTCGGCTCTCTAAGAGGGGGGCCTCTGGGGGCTTACCGAGGGGCGCCTTTTGGCCTTGTCGGCAAGCCTATTGGAAACATGGTTGGGCGATGGGCGGAAGCCCAAGGAACCATGTTCCCAGAAAGCTATCTGGGAACTACGATTCACCGAAGTGTCTTGGGGCCCCGCAGGGAGCTTCCCTGGGGGCCCCTTGGGGGCCTATTGGGGCTTCCGGGGGGCCTCTTAGGAGCCTCACGGGGCTTCTTGGGAGCCTCTTGATGGCCTCCGGGGGCGTCCTAGGAGCCTCTCAGGCCGGAGACCTTGAAATTCGCGCTCTTCGGGCCCTCTTGGGTCGCTCTTGGGGCTCTCTTGGGGCGCTCTCGAGGCCCTCTTGACTTATCTGGGGAGCCTTCTGGGCCGTCTCTGGGCTTTCTTGGGGGCCTCTTCGGCCGTCTTGGAGCGATCTGAAGGGCCTCTGACGCGGTCGGGGACCGTGGGGAGGCAGAACATGGGAGAGCGCAAGAATGCTTCAAAAACTAATGGAGAATGCATGATTTTCAGCTTCTGGGGCCCTTTGGAGGGGCCTCTGGAGGCGCTCTTGGGGCGTTTTGGCGGACGTCGTCGGCCGTCCTGAGGCCATCTTCGGCGTGTCCGGGGCCTCTGGGGGCTGTCTTTGGGCGTCCTGGGAACCTGGGAATCATGTTCCTGGAGAGGCTTCGGGGAACATGATTTCGAACGAGACCCTCTTGGGCCTCCCTGAGGCCGTCTTGGGGGCCTCCTGGGCCGGCTTTGGGGCCTCTAGGGCCGTCTTGGGGGGGTCCGTGAGCCCCACAGGACGACCCTTTTGGGCCGTCTGGGGCCCTGTTGGGTCTCTCTTGGGCTGTGTTGGGGTTCCGCGGAGGCGTCTGGGGCAGTGTGAAGACGAAGCCAGCGAGTATGCCGAAAACGCATGTTTTACTAAGGAATTGGGCAGATGTTTGCCTCTTGAAGGCCCTCTTGGTGCCCTCTTCAAGCCATCTAGGGGCCCTCTTGGGCCTCGCTGAGGCTGTCCTGGGGCCCTCTAGGGGGCCCTGGGAACCCGGAGAGGCTTCGGGGAGGCTTTCCGGAGGGGTTTCGTGAGCCCCGAAACCAGCGAGTATGCTGAAAATGTACGTTTTACAAAGAAAATGGAGGCCCTCTTCAAGCCATCTCGGGCCCTCTGGGGCCTCGCTGAGGCTATCCTGGGGCCCTCTAGGGGGCCCTGGGAGCCCAGAAGTCGTGTTCCCGGAAAGGCTTCCAGGACCATGATTTCGAACGGGGCCCTCTTGGGCCTCCCTGAGGCCGTCTTGGGGCCCTCCTGGGCCGGCTTTTTGGGCCTCTAGGGCCGTCTCGGGGGGTTCCGTGAGCCCCACAGGACGACCCTTTTGGGCCGTTTGGGGCCCTGTTGGGTCTCTCTTGGGCTGTGTTGGGGCTCCTCGGGGGCGTCTGGGGCACTGCGAAGACGAGGCCAGCGAGAATGCTGAAAATGCACGTTTCACTAAGGAAATGGACCGATGTTTGCCTCTTGGAGGCCCTCTCGGGGCCCTCTTCAAGCCATCTTCAAGCCATCTCGGGCCCTCTTGGGCCTCGCTGAGGCTGTCCTGGGGCCCTCTAGGGGCCGTGGGAACCCAGAAATCATATTCCCGGAGAGGATTCCGGGAACATGATTTCGAACGAGACCCTCTTGGGCCTCCCTGAGGCCGTTTTGGGGGCCTCCTGGGCCGGCTTTGGGGCCTCTAGGGCCGTCTCGGGGGGTTCCATGAGCCCCACAGGACGACCCTTTTGGGCCGTCTGGGGCCCTCTTGGGTCGGTCTCTCTTGGGCTGTGTTGGGGCTCCGCGGGGGCGTCTGGGGCACTGTGAAGACGAAGCCAGCGAGTATGCCGAAAATGTACGTTTTTGTGCGGGAATGGGCGATTTAGGTCTCTTGAAGGCCCTCTTGGGGCCCTCACGCCCTCTTGGGGCGTTCTTGGGCGTCTTGGGGGCCTCTTCAGGCTTTCTTGACCATCTGTACGCCCCGCGTGGCCTGTCGTGGGCAATTTGGAAGCGGCCCGGGGCAGTCCCGGGGGGTCTGTGACCCCCCGATGGTTCGGGGGAGTGGCCATGGGGGATGACGGCACCGATGTTCCCCCCCCGCCATACTCAATGAAAATCAACGATTTTGGCTTGTCGGCGCTCTCTTGGGAGGCCTCTTGGGATGCCTTCGGGGCCTCATGGAGCTCTCTTGGAACGTCTTCGGGCCTTCCTGGCCATTCCTGAGGCTATCTATGCGCGTCTTGGAGCGCTCGCGGGCCGTCTTGGGCGGTCTCGAACTGTTCCTGGCGGTCCCAGGGGCCCTCCGGGACGCTTCGGACGCTCCCGGGGGCGCCCTGCACCCCCCATGGAGATTACTGGCAGCGCCCTGGGCCGCCCCCGGGCCCTACTCCGATATTTGGCCGTTCTTCCGTCTCCAATTTCCGCATCTTACACCGTCCAATTTCTATATCCAATTCTGAATTCTGGCTCCCGATCCGTGGCTCCTAACTGTAACTCGTCTCCACCCGCTCCTGCCCGAAAGGATTTGGGCATGCCAGGTCCGACCACGAGTCCAGCGAGTTCTCTGGCGAGTCCGCGGACCTGACCCCAGGTCTGTGGCTCTGCATAAAAGAAAACATGGACGGCATTTCCGTCGATGTGGCCTCAGATACCGTCTCCAACCTTATCGGCATTACAACAATGGGCTGCACGGAAATACGCGGGTCTTGGTCCGACCTTCCTCTGCGCGCTTATCCTCAACGTAAGTAGTGAACCTTGTGAGACTTCGTCGTTATTTATCACGCTTACGTCGTCCAAAATCCAGTCCTCCATCCTATGGTACACCTGATAATGGGGTGCATGATGGAGCTTGAGCAATACGACGACGCACCCAATGAGGGAAGGGATCGTAGACATACAGGAATGTTGCACGATGACGAGCAACATCACGATTATGATGCCTCGTCCCGTGGCGTAAATCATGGCATCTTCTTTAACTCCAACATCCCCGACTCTAACACCTTGCGAAGGGATGCGGCGTGAACGGCACTTACGAGAAGTCCAACATCAACGAGAACCCAAAATTCACAAAGATTCTAAACGTTTCGCGTACCCCCACCAGCCCATCCAGAAGCGATGCCCAGAGGAGTTGCCTCGATCAGGGAAGTGAGCAGCACGTAGAGGAAAGATCCCCCTAAGGATACATTTTGGAGCATGTTCGGCGCCTCTTGGCGGTCCCGGAGGCCTCTTGGAGCGTCCAGGGGGCTTTGGGGAGCTTCTTGGGGCATCTTGGAGGTCTCTTGGCAGCGTCTTGGAGGCCTCTTTTTCTTTTGTCGTCGCGCGCTGAAGAGCAACTCTCAAAAGGTCTGCCAGAAGGAGTCGCTCGCGGCTTGCGCTTTTGCACACAGCCGGGGCCTCTGGATGTTTATCTAAATTTCTACTGTGCTAAGGGCGACTCACGGAAAACCCGTGCGCGCGACCGAGAAAAGAACTGCTGGAGGCGAGGAGGCTGAGAGCCGAAGGGATGGTGAGATCAAGGAGATCAGGGGGTGAGGAAGTGAGGGGGGTGGGAAGACTCTGAAGCCTCCTCTGGCAACAGAGCTAGCTACCTGGCAACGAAAGCCAGCTGCTCGAAAGCGACCGTGGGGAGGTCAAGGGCAAGGGAGGCCAGAGGATTCAGAAGTGAACAATGAACGCTTGGCTTCCGTTATCCCTGTGGAAACTTATCACAACGCGTGCGCCAACAGCTGGGAGCAGCACAACACGATATTTCCAACAAGACACCAAAACTGTTGTCCAACGAGCAATGCTCCTGGACGGGTTCGTGGCCAAACTACCTGCCAAGCGTGGGCGCGACTAATGATGTGCGAGAAACTTTGTCTCGCATGTACGGCCTGCGGCTCAGGGAACTGTGCGAAGTTACGTCATGCCCGCCATGCCGATTACACCACAACCTACGCGGTCCAATGGGAAGCAGCACCAAACAAAAGGCTGTTTGGGCATGCCGTGATTCAGCATACTGTCAAAATCATCCTCGGTTGTCAGCTTGGACCCCGAACACCAAATCCGCCGACCCCTTTGGGGTCCCTAGGCGTGTGAAATTGTTCCCCCCCCTAGAGCCCCCCCCGAGGGAGTCCGAAACTCGGCGCCTGGGCGCCAATGGGGTTCAAAGGCCGTTTGCATGGGCGCCCCATACAAATGGCCGCCGGAACGGGCCAACCCCGGGCGAGCTCGGCCCCCACTGTCGGCGCCTATTTGCATGGGCACCCCATGCAAACGGCCGCCGGAATGGGCCAACCCCCCCGGACGGGCGCGCCAGGGGTTCGGGAGCATTTGCATGGGCGCCCCATGCAAACGCGCGCAGAACCCGCCCGACCCCCCCCGGACGAACGCGTCAGGGGTTCGGGCCCATTTGCATGAGCGCCCCATGCAAACGGCCACGGATTCCGACCAACCCCCCTCGGATGAACCCTCGACCCGTGCAAACGGCCGCCCACACCAGCCAACCACCCAGGGGGCTTGGGCCCAGCTAGAAGGGGCCAGGCCGACGTGGGGCCCCCGATTGCCTCTTGGCATTTCCAAGACGGCCTGAAAGGTTCGAAAATAATTCCAAAGGGACGTCCAAAAAAGACCCGAAAAACCGATGCGGTCAAAATCCAATTGATCTCTCGTGCATTGCGCCGCGTTTGCGCCTCTGGGGCCAATGCCTTTGTAATTTCTGCCACACTCGCGGCCCCGAGGCAACGATCCCCTGTGAATTACACCACAGTCGCGCCCCCGAGGCCACAACCCCCACTTGCCGGCCAACCGATTCGTCGACCTGCCAGCCTGCCGACCGGCGGCCTGCCGACTTGCCAACCTGCCGACCTGTCGACTTGCCGACCAGCTGACCTGGCAGCCTGCCGACCTGCTGACCTGCTCACTTGCCGACCTGTCGACCTGCCGACCTGCCGACTGGCCGACCTGCCGACCCCGACCTGCCGCCGCGCCGACCTGACGACATGCCGATCTGCCAACTTGCCTACGGCGGCCGACCTGCTGACCTGCCAGCCTGCTAAGTTGCCGACCTGCCGACTTACCGACTTGCGCATCCTTTTTCTTTCCGACGTTTGTCCCCCATTCCCCCGATCTTAATATTGGGTTCGGTCCTGGCCTGTCGAAACAGCTCGGTGGTGCAACGTTATGTCGGGGGCCTCTGGGGGGAGCAAGGGTTTTTGTCACGCAGTCAATAATAAGCGATGCGCGACCGCGAACGGCGGCAGAGACCCCCGCTCGCGACCCCGCGGGGATGGGGCGGAGGGGGCGAAGAAAAGGTGAGGGGCCAGCGACGAGGCCTACGACGCGCCCCCGCGGAGCGCCGGCGCCCGCAGCCCGACCCAGGCCCCGCTGGCAGCGCGGGCCTGCGACCTGCGACCCGCCTGGGACTTGCCCCATGCAGCGCGCCGGCGCCCCGCGCGCGCGCGGCCCCTGCGACCCGCCAGCGGCCCGCGCCCATGACTCGCGCCCGCGGCGCGGGCCCGCCTGGGTCGCCGCGGACTCGCCAGTGACTTATCTCCATCCCAGTTGGCACCCAATAGATATGAGAAAACTTTGATCTCCAAGGGGGGGCCAGGGACCCTAGCGGGGCAATGAACCACCAAAAGGCCCGCGGAAATGTGTACGAATGGCGCGTTGTTGCTCTGGTCATCGGAAATCGAACTTGGCGCTGTCTGGCGCTGACACGCGGCTTCGCCCAGAGGACTCCGACGCCTCCAGAGGCAGGAGGGGGAATGACGAGGACGGGGTGATGGAGCCAGGGGCCCTCCTCCCTCCCACCTCCTCCACCCCCTCCCCCCTCCTCTACCGCCTTCAGGCTGGCGCGTGTAGCGGTGCGACATGTTGTCGGCGTGCGGTACCCAGTCACGCGAGGGCCGAACGCTGAAAAGGCGCGCAGCCCGATGTACATCCAGGTGCCGAGGAGAACCGGAGGGCGAGTGAGGAGAGGAGGAGCGGAGGCGGAGGAAGAGGAAGGTGGAGGTGGAGAAGTCTGAGGAGGAGCGCAGCATCAGGATGCGGAGCTTTTCTCCGCGATGGAGTGCGGAGGCAGCGATGCGGCGATGCGGGGGTCCCCCGCCTGAGTGCTGTCTTTCTCGCGTCTCAAAAAAAGACCTGCCTACGAATGGATGGTTGGCGCCCACTGGTAGGCAGCTCCACGTGCGTATATAAATCGCACGAGCGCTTCACTCCGCCAGCCCCCACTTGCCGGGGGTGAAAAGGCGTGTGAGACATTTGGGGTCCAAAATCGCGTTGGAGGGGACCCTGGGGGATGGGCCAGAGCCCTTCAACGCACCTTCCGGGCCCTCAGAGCGTCCAAATCCACCCTCCATGGCCTCCAAGACGCCCAAAGTTGCCTTCAAAGACGACCAAGGAAGGGCTCGAACACGCAGGAGAAGCTTCAAGGACACCCCCATTGCCTCAAGACAGCCCAAGAGGCTCCCAAGAGGCTTCAAGAGGAACCCCAAGAAAATTTCAAGAGGTATTAGACTTTTTGCCCGTGGGCCACTGCGGCCTCGGGATGCTTCCACGGCCGCCCCGAGACTTATGCTGCTCCCATCGTACTGAAGGACCACATCCCCGAAGTAATCGTTTTCCCTGGAAAGGGAGTAGGCCCAGGGTTCTCTTTTAATTCTCTTATGAAAGACCGGGTCTGTACTTGTGACGGGCTGGCGAACTTACTTGCTAAACATAGCAAAATAAACGTTGAGGATGTCCCGAGCGAAACGCTGGTTTTTGAATTTCTGACCGATACAACACAACAGTGCGGGACACATTTGGGCCAGGTGCACGAATCCGTGCGTTTTCACATGTGTTCCCATAGACTGACCCTCTCCAGGGGCACGAATCATGTTTTTATACACTGGCTCTCTCCAGGAGGCCCCACAAGGGCCCAGGACAACCAGGAGGGTATCTAACATGGTTGTCCAGAGCTGGATCCACGTGGCTTTACGTGTCCAGGCCACCGAAAGGGGTATCTAACATGATTGCCCCGAACTGGAACCACGTGCTTTTACGTGTCGAGGCCTCCCAGAGGGGTATCTAACATGGCGTCAGGTCCAACGCCGAATTATCAGGAAACGCACGGGGGGCCGAAAAACGCTACCCGAGCACAGATCCCAATCAACACAAAAACTGATTTATTGCTCTGGACAGGGGGTGACGCTTTGGGGGCCTCTCCAGAGAAGACATTGCGAGGATGTCTCGAGCGGGGGCGCGAATTCAGCGTATCCAGGCCGCGCAGAGGGGGTATCGAACATGGTTGTCCCGAGCTGGAACCACGTGTTGTTACGTGTCCAGGCCGCCCAACGGGATATCTAACATGATTGTCCCGAGCAAGGACCACGTACTTCAACATGTCCAGGCCACTCAGGGGTGTATCTAACATATTTGTCCCTAGGTGGCACCACGTCATTCTACGTGTCCAGGCCACCCATGAGGGTATCGAACATGGCTGTCCCGAGACAGGACCACGTGTTTTCACGCGTCCAGGTCACCCAGGGGTGTATCTAACATGGTTGCCCAGAGCTGGATCCACATGGTTTTACGTGTCCAGGCCATCCACGCGGGTATCTAACATGATTGCCCCGAACTGGGACCATGTGTTTTTACGTGTCCAGGCCGCCCAAAAGGGTATCCGCCGACCCCTTTGGGGTTTCTAGGCGTGTGAGATTGTTCCCCCCCTAAAGCCCCCCCCCAGGGAGTCCGAAACTCGGCGCCTGGGCGCCAATGGGGTCCAGGGGCCGTTTGCATGGGCGCCCCATGCAAATGGCCGCCGGAACGGGCCAACCCCGGGCGAACTCGGCCCCCACGTGCCGGCGCCTATTTGCATGGGCACCCCATGGCACCCCACGAGCACAGGCATCGGCGGTTTGGCGGGCAGCACCAGTACCCGCACGCGAGCGGGTACAGCACAGCCTCGCCGTTGGGGTAAAAAGGATAGCCGGTCCAGTCTGGCGACACCTGCAGCGCGACCGCGCTGTCGGCCCCCGCGTAGTAGCCGACAGGGGCAAGCCAAGTGCCGTTCATCACGAAGGATGCGGGGCGGTCGGGCCGTGGGGTGAGGAAGGTCTTGTCTGCAAGGATGGGGTTGTCGGCGACTATGCGGTTCTTGTCGCTCTCGCTCGCCGCGAGGAAAGCTTCCAAACTGCTCAGCCCGAACGGTTCCAGAAGCCATTTCGCGATTGTTGCCTGCCATAACTCTTCTGGTTTATGTTTGACAGCCTGCTCCGCAGCGATCAAAGTCGAGTCTCTCGTCATGACGGCGCCGATGGGCGTTGGCTCCTGGTTAAGCACGGCCATGGAAAGTTCGGAGGGACTTGCTGCCTTGCCCAGCATTTCGCTGGTGCTGATTTCGGAGCCGTTGTACGTCTTGCCGAACATAAAAACAGAGGCAAACCACGTGCCTCCAGACACTGTGCTGATAGAGTCGAACTTCGAGAGAAGCCCACATTCGCTCAGCCCTCTGAATATCCCTAGGGTGAATGACATCGCCCGGCTGCCACCGCCACTTACGCATATCGCCCGCGTGATATTCGACTGCGATGGTGGAAAGGAGGGGTTGCCAGTGTTCACCGGGACAACGGTGGCGGTAAGCTTCTCCGAGCTTCCGCCGATGGGCTCGTAGGCGAGGCACTTGCCACCGACAGACCCGCAGGCCTGGCCCATCGCTGGAGCAAGAGAAAGCAACGCAGAGCTCCCCGGAGCCGTCAAGAAAAAGACTCGGGATGATCCGCTGCGGCGCCACCTTGAGCCAAAATGGCTACGGAGCTTCTTGGAGGCCTCTTGGGCGCCTCATTGGGCCTCCTGGGGCATCCTGGGCGGCCCTCTTGAAGTGCTCTTGGGAGCCTCGGGAGCGCTCTTGGGGCCAACTTGGAGGGCATCGA